AAATTTAACTTTCCGGTTTTCCTGACGGATTTTTTGTGAAGGCAAAGCTTCTGAATTGGAAGAGAGAACAATTACCTCGGCAACATCCGCGTGGCTGGCTTCGACATCATCCTGACAAATATCATCATCAATAAGACGCATGAAAAATAAACCAAGTGAGTCAAGCTCTACCTCAAAGTCCGAATTATCCACCTCATCGTCAGGAGCCGGATTAGAAGAGGCAGTGGTTCTTTTCTTATGGGCAGTCTAAAGATGCACTGCTACCTCTTGAGCTTGCGTTGGATTTCCCCGAAAAGGAAAGGATGATGCAACAGAGTAGCGTAAGTATTTTCCTCAGTTTTTGAGAACCAATGTATCAATCCAGTAGGAGGCCACGCTCAAGTCCCTCGTACCTGCACAAAACGATAGCTACTCGCAACCAACGCGATTAGGGGTTGTCAATCCCTTCACGGTCACTTACGAGAGTGAGATCTGATAGATATAATATTTTTGGTATTTTTGGTATAGAGATGCAAAGTAAAAAGTAAAAGGCAAAGTAAAAAGCAAAACAAGATTAAAGTGATGTAGATTGATATGATGAGAATAGACCCGGGGGCCATAGGTTTCACTAGTGGCTTCTCTCAAGAGCATAAGTATTCTACGGTGGATGAACAAGTTACTGTTAAGCAATTGACAGAATTGAGCATAGTTATGAGAATATCTAGGCATGATCATGTATATAGGCATCACGTCCGTGACAAGTAGACCGAAACGATTCTGCATCTACTACTATTACTCCACTCATCGACCGCTATCCAGCATGCATCTAGAGTATTAAGTTAAAAATAGAGTAACGCTTTAAGCAAGATGACATGATGTAGAGAGATAAATTCATGCAATATGAAATAAACCCCATCTTGTTATCCTCGATGGCAACCATGCAATACGTGCCTTGCTGCCCCTTCTGTCACTGGGAAAGGACACCGCAAGATCGAACCCAAAGCTAAGCACTTCTCCTATGGCAAGAACTACCAATCTAGTTGGCCAAACCAAATGGATAATTCAAAGAGACTTGCAAAGATAACTAATTATACATAAAAGACTTCAGAGAAGATTCAAATATTATTCATAGATAGACTTGATCATAAACCCACAATTCATCGGTCTCAACAAACACACCGCAAAAAGAAGATTACATCGAATAGATCTCCACAAGAGAGGGGGAGAACTTTGTATTGAGATCCAAAAAAAAGAGAAGAAGCCATCTAGCTACTAACTATGGACCCAAAGGTCTGAGGTAAACTACTCACACTTCATCGGAGAGGCTATGATGATGTAGAAGCCCTCCGTGATGACGGCCCTCTCCGGCGGAGCTCCGGAACAGGCCCCAAGATGGGATCTCGTGGATACAGAAAGTTACGGCGGTGGAATTAGGTTTTTGGCTCCTATTCTGATCGTTTGGGGGTAAGTAGATATATATAGGAGGAAGGAGTACGTCGGTAGAGCACCGAGGGGCCCACGAGGCAGGGAGGCGCCCCCGCCCCCCACCCTCATGACCGCCTCTTTGACTCCTTGGAGTAGGGTCCAAGTCTCCTGAATCACGTTCGGTGAGAAAATCACGTTCCCGAAGGTTTTATTCCGTTTGGACTCCGTTTGATATTCTATTTCTCCGAAATACTGAAATAGAAAAAAAAACAGCAATTCTGGGTTGGGTCTCCGATTAATAGGTTAGTCCCAAAAATAATATAAAAGTGGAAAATAAAGCCCAATATAGTCCAAAACAGTAGATAATATAGCATGGAGCAATCGAAAATTATAGATACATTGAAGACGTATGAGGCATCCCAAGGTTAATTCCTGCTTGTACTCGAGTAGGTAAATGATAAAAAGAGATACGTTCCCCTCACCGTCCTTCCCAATCTCCACCCATCCATCCATGTACTGCCCGCGTTGGTGTCGGCGGGAAGGCCGCACGCCGTCGATGTGGTTGGGGCGGCGAGAGAAGGGTGGCCGTGCCGTCGTGGCGTCGTGGGAGGCGACCGCAGGAGACGGCGCGGTGTGCACCTGCCTGTACGGCCCGATGAGGCAGCGGCGGCGGCCGGGACGCACTACGACTGCCGCGGGTCGGCCTTCCGAAGCCGACTCCCTCACCGCTTGGAGCTCCCCTGCCCCGTACTGCCACTTCGGCCTTCTTCTCCAACTCCGACGGCCTTCATCTTCAACGCCGGTGACCCACTGTCAGATTCCTCCTCTACGTTTCCCCTCAGCTAATTTGGTGCCTCCTCTCTGCTATCTCTGTCTCTCCGAAGCCCTGAATTGAAGACCCCCTACAATAGAGCAGCAGGTGAGATACAGCTACATTCTGAATGCTATCATGTGTCTGCACCAGATCCCAGTGGAGCATCGTCTTGTTGCAACCATAAGACCCTGTTTGGAATGGGTGTAAAATTTTTGTGTGCACCACACAAATTTTGGTGCAGGCTACAGCCAGTTTAGCATCATTTCACTAGTTTTATCCTTGTATCGTCTATGAAGAACCATGCCTGTCTCGTTGTCTCTCACTCAAAGTTTGAAGGAAGATACTCAACTATTTCAAAAGGCCCAAACATTCTTCACATTCACTCATCTTTGTCATGGCTGTCAACATTTGGCTTTCAAACTAATTACCAACATGCATCCCTCTCTATCTCTCATAGTTAAATAATTCGTGTGCAGATTGACTGGTTGAGCACCTTTGACGCCAGCTTCTTCCCTGCTTCGTGGGTTCTGAAAATGGCCGGATCACGGCTGTTCCGGCGCAGCAGGTGTCCTGTGGCAACACTGCTGCCGATTGTGCTCAATGATCAAGGCATAGTCGATAGCCTTACTGAAAATAATCAGAGAAGCATGTGGGCTAGCAGAAGGATAGGGGAGGACAAACAACTCTACTTAGTCCATGTTCAGGGCACTGCTGGCATCGGTCACCCAACCACGCTGGTTGTCAAGAAGTTCCAGAACTCGGACGGAATAGTGGATGGTAATCTGGAGAACTGCTGCAAGTCGGAGATGTTCCTGTTAGCCAGCATCCGTCACGACAACATCGTCAACATCCTACACTTCATCCAGAGGGAAAATGCAATCATGCTTTTTTACACGTACCAGGTGAACGGCAGCCTTGACCAGTGGTTGCAGCGGCGGGAGGAGGGCGACCTGCCGCTGAGCTGGCCGCAGAGGAAGGCCATCGCCATTGGAGTGGCCCAAGGGCTCTGCCACTTGCACCATGGATGCAATAGACCGATTGTCCACCACAACATCACCTCTATCAACATCCTGCTCGATCAGAATTTCAAGGCCGTGATAGCCAGTTTTGGTGCTGCCCAGATGAACATGGCCGGGCTGAACCAACCATTGCCTATCGTGGGGACTTTGTTTGGTAACTTTGGGTATGCAGCTCCAGGTAGCGGTTCATGTACTGAGTTTTTTTTAATTCCATCTTATAACTAGTGTGGTCATTTACTAACTAGTCATATAAATGATTAATGTCAGAATATGGGAGGGCTGCAAGCCAGCTGACGTTGAAGGTAGACACATACAGCTTTGGTGTGGTGCTGCTGGAGCTCATCACAGGGCGGGTGGCCAATGGGGTGGATGGTCAGTTGGCCATATGGGCTCGTGACAACTGCAGTGAGCTGATGGCAAAGAAGCTGGAATGGTTCAAGATTGCTGTGGACAAGGGCATCCCAGATCAAGCACGGTACATGGAGGAGATGGCGACCGTATTCAGACTGGGTGTGGATTGCACTGTCGATGATCCGCAGCAAAGGCCGTCCATGCAGATGGCTCTCAAACGACTCCGCCACGGCTGTGGGCGTGGACGATTCGGTGGCCTTCTCACCTGCTATAACCTGTAAGGCCGCTGGCTAAGCCAAGTTCCTTAGTTACTTTTAAAAAAGGAAAAAGTAAAGGCCTTCCCTACTGTTCATGTGAAATGAAACACCCCTGATTGCAATGAGAACCTTTATATCAAAATGTTGCCTTCTCTCGTAATAGTGTTTGTTCTTGCTTTTATCCGTGCATGATGTGGTTGCATATTTTGAGAACAGGAAGATTTTCACAATGCTACAGAAACACTGTTTATTGTGTTCCTGACTGCTTCACACTTGCGAAGTAACACCTTAAGTTGGCAGCGGAACATTTGATGTTTCTGGAAACAAAATCTTCAATTTTTAGTAAGTATTGTCACTGTAAATATTTGCAGTAGAACCAATTTATGATCTTCTTGGGCACCTGATGGAAAAGAACAAATGCAGAACACGACTATTTAACAAATGCAGAACAGCTGATAGGCTGTAGTACTGAATGTAACCACCCCCCATGAGTAGATGTATATATACGGATTGCGGATTGCGGTTTAGTCTGTATGGTGAGTCTATGAAAGATTTTGTTGTTTGTGTTTGCTTGAATATAAATAATTTAGCGGTTGTGTCAATCTCCATTTTTTCATGAATTGTATCGGGTGCATACTTTACTTTTTTCAGATACATCACTAGTGAGGATGTTATCTAAGTGAAAAAAGGTAAAGTGGCATGTGAGGTCTGCTCAGCTGATGAACTGATATTGACAGAGCTTATGTTCTGTGGTACTTTGAAAAGTTTGAAGTGTATGCTACTCCAGATCAGATGGTGGCTCTGCTTTCTTTTTGCTTGGCAAGAAAAGCTTCAGGATGCCCCAAAGCCAAGGGAGGAGCTTGACCTGCTCTTCTACCGGTTGCAAGGGACAGGGAAAATGGTTGCGAACTTCCCGCTTGAATGCAAGGTACCTAACATACTAGCACTCACCATCTTAAATTCGATGCTATAACGATAATACTATATCTTCAAAAGTCTAACGCCGAATTTCTAAAACTTGTTGATCTTCCATTGGCGACAACAAATCTGGATCCATGTGGAGTCATTCTTTTTAGGAGAAAAACCATTAAAGAAGACAGAACCTTAGCTAACAACAGTCAGAGCACATGTTCTCCTAGCTAAAAATAGCAGATACTACATGGAGCCTCTTGTGATGTCCCCAGGTAGCACTACAAGATTAACCTGGAACTCATTCCACACAAATAATAAGATACTATCACCTGACACCTGGTATCCCCAGGTACTGAACTCATTCCAACACAAAGATACTATCACCTTTACTTCCTCGAGCCACAAAATATTTCTAGCCTGTAAATTGTTTATCAATCTAGAAAAGGACTTACCTACATAGCAAGAAATTCAAACTGTCTTTTGCTAAAGTTGACATCCCTCTTGATCATATTGATCACGTCCTTTTGACCCCCACGGTTTTGGGGCACCCTGAAGCTTTTGTTGCCAAAAAAAGCAAGAAAGCAGAGCCACCATCTTTTTCTACTATAGCATCCTTCAAAGTATCACTGAACATAAGCTCTGTCAATGCCAGTTCATCCGCTGAGCTGATCTCACATGCCACTTTGTCCTTCACTTGGACTACATCCATGTATCTGAAACAAAAATGACGCCGATAAGAATTCATGAAAAGAAATGGATATTGACACAACAGATAAATTCTTTAAATTCAAGCAGACAAGAACAACAAATTCTTTCACAGAATCACCATACAAACTAAACTGCAATTTACAAATTACAATCACTCAGATGGGGAGGTTACATTCAGTACTACAGCCTACCAGTTAGTGATCATCCAATTTAGTAAGATAGTTGTGTTCTGCAATTGTGGTTTTCCATCAGGTGCCCAACAAGATTATAAATTTACTCGCCTGAAAATGTTACAATGGGAATTCTTACTAAATTTCGCGACATCAGAAACATGAGAATGCTGTGCTTCCTACTTAACTCGGTTTTCTGTAACAAGAAAGTTCATTTGGCAAGTTCCAAATCAGCAATCACTCCAAAGATTAACATATTAAAGATCCAACAGAAGTGTGACTTTGTATATGCATGTGTAGAGCAGCCAGGAACACAACAGACTCTGTTTCCATAGCATTATGAACATCGTGCACAGGTAAAAGCAGGTAAAGGACATTATTGTGGGAGGAAGCAACATTTTGATATATAAAGGTGCCTACTGCAATCAGGGATATTCCTTTTTATTTCATTTTTCATGTGAACAGTAGGAAGGGGCCTTGATTATTTCTTTTCTTTTATTTTATTTTTAAAGTAACCAAGTCACTTGCTTTTAGCCTGTGGCCTTACAGGTTGAGGAGGCCAAGGAATGGACCACGCCCACGGCTGCGACGGAGTCGTTTGAGAGCCATCTGCATGAACGGCCTTTGCTTCGGATCCCCAACGGTACAATCCACACCTAGCCTGAACACCGTCGCCATCTCTTCCATGTACCGTGCTTGATCAGGGATGCTCTTGTCCACGACAATCTTGAACATTTTCAGATGGTTTGCCATCAATTCATTGCAGTTGTCCCGAGCCCAAATCGCCAATAGACCATCTGCTCCATTTGCCAACTTCCCTGTGACTAGCTCTAGCAGCACCACGCCGAAGCTGTAAATGTCTGCCTTCTCTGTCAGCTGGCTTGCTGCGACACCATACTCTGCAATTAATCAGTAGTAGTTAGAAGGCCAAGTTACTTAACAGTAGAATTCCATTGCGTGGATCGATCGCCTGCCATACCTGGAGCTACATACCCAAAGTTACCAACAGGAATCTCCGTGATCGGCAATGTTTGGTTAAGCCCGGCGATGTTCATCTGCGCAGCGCCAAAGCTGGCTATCACGGCCTTGAAATTCTGATCAAGCAAGATATTGTTAGAGTTGATGTTGTGGTGGACAGTCGGTCTGTTGCATTTGTGGTGCAAGTGGCAGAGCCCTTGGGCCACACCAATGGCAATGCCCATCCTTTGTGGCCAACTCAGCGGCTGCTCGCCCCCCTCCCGCCGGTGTAGCCAATAGTCAACGTTGCCGTTCACCGGGTACTCGTAGACGAGCATGATGGATTCCTCCCTTTGGATGAAGTGTATGACATTGATGACGTTGTCATGACAGATGCTGGCTAATAGGACCATCTCCGACTTGCAGCGGTTCCTGACATTGTCATCCACCAGTAGTGCTGGGTTCAGGTTCTGGAACTTCTTGACAAGCACCGTAGTTGGGAGACCGATGCCAGCAGTGCCCTGAACATGGACTCCATACAATTGGCCGTCCTCCCCTATCCTTCTGCTAGCCCACATACTTGTCAGATTATTTTCGGTAAGGCTGTCGACTATGCCTTGATCGTTGTACTTGATAGGCCGTTGTGTCGCCGCAGGATGGCTGCTGCGCTGGAACCACAGCGATGATCCGGGCATTGAGAGAGAGAGAGAGAGAGAGAGAGATGCAATGTTAGTGATTAGTTTGTCAGCACCACAAAGACGAGGGAATCTGAAGAATTGGTGTGCCTTTTGAAATAGTTGAGGATCTTGTGAATAATTCTCTGCAAGTGAGGATGGATAACTGGCGCAAATCAGATGGTTGATAGTAACATTCAGAACCCAGCCGCTGGATCTCACTCACCTGCCGCTGTAGTGGAGTATAGGAGCTGTTCAATTCAGTTAGCGTTGCTTACTATACTACTACCAGTTAGTAGAAGAGAGGAGAGCAGAAGGATGAAGGTGTGCGCGAAAGGGGTCTGAAGGCGGGTCACCGGCGGTGGAGATGGAGGTGGTCGGAGCCGGAGAAGACGGGAGCGCCAAGCGGTGAGAAATTCGGCTTCGGAATTGACACGGGACGGCGTATAACGGCCAGCCGTGGTGCCGTCCGACCATCTATTCGTGGGCGCAGCAGCCGGCGGCGCCGTCTCGGGCTCGCGGTTGGCCGCCACACACGACGGCACGGCCGCACTCGTGTCCCCGTCCCACCTCGCGTGCCAAACAACCACAGCGAGCGTCGACGACGTCTCCATCGTCTCCTCCAGATCCACAGCGGGCGGCCTTCCCGCCGAAGCCAACGCCGAGGGAGAGGGACCGTGGATGGGTGTGGATTAGGGTGGGGGAGAAGAAGCAACGACCATGACTAGGAGGGAGTTTTTTTGGACTAGCCATAGTGAGGTGACGCAGGCAGGCAGCAAGACTCTCCTTCCCTTCCCACCACCAATTGATTTTGTCTGCCTATGATCCATTGCTGACTCAAATTTGGGACATGTTTGCGTCGGCGCGGACACGGGTGACGACTGTCCTTCTTCCCCCGGTCCGTCAGTCGGTGTCATATTGGCCATTCCTCCTCTTCCATCGACAGCCAACACATTCCGTCCTCGCCGCCGTCGCCCAGGTTGTATGCTACCCAGGCCACTACCCGTACCCACATACCTCATCTACCAGCACACTGCACCCGACGACCATTCTTGTCGGCGTTGGTGGACTGTTTTCGCGCCGTCGTAACACCCCCACGTCCACGCCACCACCCTCGCCTCTGTTGCTGCTAGCAACGCTCCAAGCTCAGCTACCTTGCTTGCCGGTTCCCACCACAGCCGTGTCCACGTCGACAGGCCTGCTGCCTGGTCTGGAAGAGACATGTGCTCTTCACCGTCCGACTTCTTCCACCGCGCCCGCAAGGAGTTCGACGTTCCGCCTGCAAGGTACAAATGGATAGTGGTGATGAGTGCTTTTTCAGCAACTTCATTGCGATTCGGATGATTCTCGTCCGACGATGAGAAGATTATGGTTGCTACTTCCGGTTTTTTTGTTTATTTCGTTGCACCCTCAGATGGGCCGGCCCAGGAGTGCGGAGGCTACATTTTTTTTGGTTTTCTTTCTGTTCTTGTTTTTTGCTTTATTTTTTACTTGTTTTCACTTTAATATATCGTACATATATGTACAAAAAACACTCTCCGAAAAAAACATTTGGAAAATGTTGAACAAGTATTCGAAAAATGTTGAATAAGTATTACAAAATGTTGAACAAGTATTTGAAAATTTTCAATAAGTATTCCAAATGTTGAACATGCATTTGACAAATATTGAATAAGTATTAAAAATTATTGAACAAGTATTTAAAAAATGTTGAATAAGTATTACAAAATGTTGAACAATTACTTAAAAATGTTGAATAAGTATTTGAAAATGTTCAATAAGTATTCCAAATGTTGAACAAGTATTTGACAAATATTGAATAAGTATTAAAAATTGTTGAACAAGTATTTGTAAAATATTAAACAAGTATTTGGAAATGTTGAATCAGTATTAAAAATGTTGAAAAAATAATTGGAAATATTGAATAAGTATTAAAAAAATGTTGAATGTGTATTTGAAAAATGTTAAAATTTTATTATAAACTGTTTAATAAGTATTAAAAATTCTGCAAAAAATTAAAATGTTGAATAAGTATTTGAAAAATGTTGAACATATATTTTAAAAACTGTTGAATAAATATTAAAATGTTGAACAGGTATTTAAAAAAAATGACGAATATGCGTTTGGACAATGTTGAACGTGTATATAAAAAACGCTGATCCCTTAATAAAAAATGTTTTTGACATATACGAAAATGTAGAGTGAAAACGAGAACAAACTAAGAAAAAACAAAAAATGAAGAAGAAATGTTAGACGTGTATTTGAAAAACATTGTTGACATATAAAAATGTAGAGTAATAACCAAAAGAACAAACAAAACCGAAAAAGGAGCAAAAAGAACAAAGAACAAAGAAACAAAATGCAAAAAAGAATGAAAAAATGGAGAAAAAAAGAAAAAGAATCAAAATAAAAGAAAAAAGTAGAATAAAGAAAACCAATGAAAATGCAAAAGGAATAAAAAATCTGTGAAGACTTCGAAAGAAATGTAAAAAATCTGTGAAGACTTAGAAAGAAAAACAACATTGGCTGCAACTTTTCTGAAGAATCAACATTCTGTAATTAGGCATCCATTATATGTGTAATGTGTTGTTACAAGTTAACAAAATACTACGTACGTACAACAGATGCTTAGCCCGCTACATGAGATTAAATGGTGCTGCTAAGTAAGGTTGATATCCTGCTTGTTTGCAAGTCAGCAAGGTTGTGGACTGAATTTGTGCCTGTCCAGTGTACAGTTAGCGATGAACCTGGGTCAGAAAAATAAGAAACAAAACGGCTGGAATGCTGGGCGATCGGCCCGCCGTCGACCCCCTTTCTGCTTGTGCCGCGGCGTCCACCCGGTGGTGCATCCGCTCCCTGCCCGGTCAGGTATCGCCCTCTGCTCATCGTTGCAGTTACTTTTTGTGACGGACAGAGAAAGTTCAGAGCTGGTTTACTGTTCATTGGGAACTTTAAAAGAGGAGTTTCTTGTTACAGATAATAATTGGGGCAAGTAAGAAGCACAACATTCTCATGTTCCTGGCAACAAAATCTTGAATCCTTAGAGAGTATTCGCACCGTAAATATTTGCAGGAGGACCAATTTGTTTCTATCTTCGTCCGCACCTGATGGAAAAGAACAAGTGCAGCCCGGTCCTCAATGGCCTGCTTCTCCGGGACAACCACAGCAACATGGAACCAAAAAAAGCTCTTCCCATATATCCAAACCTGATCCAAACATGAGTGATGAGTCTCTAGGTAGGTGAAATATAATCAACTATATATATGTGTGTCCAAACACTTGAAATTATCTTCACTTACATACCGATCAGTGAGCTGAGGAATGGAGAGAAAAGACTGCACCTCTGCTAAACCAAGTGGTGCTGTTCGCATGCACGTAGGGCAAATTCACTGACTGGGGATGTGTGTCACACGTAGAAATTCTCCATTCCTGACGTGAACTTGGCAAAAAGGAAAACATGTGTATATGCTTGCTCACAGGGTTGCTGTCAGGTTGCCAGTCACTCAGGAAACATGGACTGAAATTGCTAACAGTTGCCTGCTGGTAGCGGCACAGAGACGGATCCATCATCTTCCTCGCCATGCGTACCACCAGTGCCAAGCTCCTGCTAACAGAATTTCACATGTAACTAATACACTAATAAACAACTATCTGAACCGTCATGCTAACAGCATTTCACATGTACTTCAACCACAATTATTTAAGTGTTTTGAATATGTTCAACAAAAATTCATCTCATCTGCTGAGCATGTAAGGTCGACTGGGAATGGTATCGTGTTCGTCTGCAGACTTCCACTTTCTAGTGAAGCGTCCAATTGATGGTGTTTCAACAAGTCAGGTTAAACAAAGCCATGAAAGAGCCAAGTCAGGTTAATCAAGTCCTCCCTAATTGGTACTCCCTCCATCCCACAATATAAGATGTTTTTACAAGCCATGTTATCTTGTGAAAACGTCTTATATTATGGGACGGAGGGAGTACTTCTGACCAAAGTGTGATTGTAACTGCTGCTATTTCCTTCATGAGTTTTACTTGAGTTAAAAGATGACTTAGAAACATGTAAAATCCTGTATATTATGTGGCATGCTCGCGTACTAAAGAAACTAATGTGGGACGGGTGGACACGGTCCGGGCCGGTCCGAGTTGTCGATTGGACCGGCCGCCGGCGGTCCGGTCCGGACCGGACCGAGCAGGGCAGCGGTCCAGATTCAGGGACCGGACCGGCGGACGAGAAGCTCGGTGCGGACCGGCGGACGAGAAGCTCGGTGCGGACCGGCGGTCCTCATGGTCCCGGTGACGTCCAGTCGCTGCATGTGGGTCCAGGATGTTGGAGAGGTTGTCGGAGAAGCAGCACGGTGGCCGTAGCCAGAGAAGACGCACATGTTGACGGCGCGGCGGCGTGAGGGAGAGGCACAAGAGAGAGAGAGGGAGCGGCGCGGCCGCACGGGGGAGAGGGGGAACAGCCATGCGAGGGAGCGGCGGTGCTGGGGAGAGGAAGGCGAGGGAGAGGGGGCGGCGCGACGGTTAGGGCATCTCCAGCCGTTGGCCCCCCAGGGGGCGCCTAAAATCGCCGCCTGGGGTGAGCCGGCGCAAAAATTGGGCCTGGGGGCGAGTTGGTCCCCAGCCGCCGGCCCCAGGGCTGCCCCCAGGCACGTTTTAAAATAAAAGAAGTTCGGCGAAGTTCGGCTTAAACACGATAAATTTCGGCCAAACACGATAAATTTCGGCATATTTCGGCGAAGTTCGCGGATTTTCATTACATAGCACATATACATAAACTAATCTAAAGGAAAAACTTGCTGAAGTCGCCGGCGTCGCCGCCATCGTCGTCGTCGGCCTTCTCCTCCTTGACGCGGGCGCCCCTGCTGGACCCCTGCCCGGCGTCGCCATGGCGGACTGGTGGCGGCGCATCATCGTCGTCGTCGTCGCTGTCGCAGATGACGACGACTCCGCCTTCGTCGCGGCCGCGTCGACGCTCCGCGAAGCGAAGCAGGGCGGCGCGCTGGCGCTCCTTCGCCTTCTC